GCCCGATGGAAAGTTGCTGGCCCTTGGGAAAAGGCAAACCCTCGCGTGTTCTGGTATGGTGACTCAGGGGCCTCATGTGACATTTGCGTTTGGAAGCAGAGTTTCAAGGCGGAGTTGGCCAGAGACCAGGGCAGAGCGGCAGGGACAACCCTGCTCGACCTGGTCAAAGCATATGAGCACGTGCCCCACCATGTTTTAGCTGCAGCAGCCCGTCGGCACAAGTTCCGAGGTAAGACCCTTCGCTTCCTGCTCGCATCATATTGCCTCGACAGAATGGTGCTCTTCCAGAACATCGCCACGCAGGTGGTGGTGACGCACCGCACGATTGTCGCGGGCTGCAGCTGCGCGACTTCCCTACTGCGTCTGGTGCTCTTGTCGCCAGTGGATGCCGTCTCTCTTCGCTTCGTGAATGTCGAGGTGGCGGTCGTGGTAGATGATCTGCAGTTGCAACGTATTGGCGAGGCATGGGAAGTCGCCAGGGAACTCAAGGGGGCCGAGGACCTATTGGCGGCTGAGCTTACGCAGATCGGCTTGACTCTCTCCCTGCCCAAGAAGCACCAGGTGGTCATCGGCCAAGGCATACGGAAGGTGTTTAGGAAAGTCAACCCGTCCTCGTCGAGGTTCCTCACACGCTCGGTTCGGAACCTGGGGCTGGACTTTGGCGGTGGAAATCGGCTTTCTCATTCGGTTCGTGCACAGCGGCTGGGCAGGATGGCGTCACGGATCCCTCGGTATAAGCGGCTCGCGAAAGCTGGGGGCAAGACGATCAAGCTGGTGCAGACTGGCCTCAAGCCTGGGATGCTCTGGGCAGTGGGAGTTCACGGCATCAGCAACACGCACCTACTGAGCGCCAGGCAACTGGCGCGCGCGGGCATGGTCTACAGGCACACGGGCAGGTCGCTCTCTTTGGACCTCATGCTTGCTGGGCCGCAGGTCGACCCCGCCTTCGAGTGCAACAGGAGCCCGATCTTCCTCTGGCTGCAGGCGCTGTGGGACGGATGGGCCCCCAGAGCAGATATGGCGCGACTTCTGAGTGGAGCATGGACACGCCTGTCTAGAGTTCCTGTGTCTCAAGTTTGGTCTGACATTCGCGGACCTGCTTCTGCGCTAGTTGCGACACTTTTGCGGTTGGGTTGGTCTGTATCTGACCCTTTTCATTGGAAGACCCACCGAGGTCTTCTTGCAATTGAACAGATTTCCCCGAAGGATGGAGGTAGGTTAGTTGATGAGGCCACCGAGCGGTGGGTGTGGCGCCAGGTTCTCGCGAAGCATCCCTCGTGGGTCTCGCCCTGCCCTCATCCTCCTCTCGTGGAGCCCCTGAGGTCCCTCCTCCAGCCTCATTCTGTCCGAGGCCCTGACTGGACCCCAAGGCATCAGGGACTGCTGCGGTGCCTGTTTGCAGGAGGTTTCTGGTCGCAGGAGCGACTGTACGAGTCAGGTGGAGCCGTCAACCCGAGCTGCCTTGCCTGTCAGAGTGCTGGATCTACCTGGCACCGATTCTACGATTGCCCCCTGCATACCGAGTTCCGTCGGGATTACAGAGCTGGCAGTGCCATGGCTGGTCAAATGCTAGACATGGCTCGAGCTGCTGCGGTGGATACCTTGCTTTTCACGCGCTTTCTTGTCCCTGACCCTGCTTGGCTCTTCCCGAGCCCCTGCCTCGAGGAGCGAGTCGTGTGGACGGTGCGGTCTCCCGACTTGCTGCTCGACGTGCACGTGTTCGGTGATGGGTCGGGGAGGCACGGAAGTTTCTCTCGCTTACGGCGCTGCGGATGGGGACTCTGTTCGCTTGACGACAGCAAGCGAGTGGTTGCTCGCCTGCATGGCCCTCTGCCCTGTCTCATTCAATCTGTGCCAGCGGCTGAGCTTTTCAGTTTCTTGATGGCGCTGAGGTATATGGGAGCTCAGATGAAGTTTTATACGGATTGCAAGCCGCTCGTGGATGTCTGGCGCCAAGGCGTTGGAGCGGGCACCGCTGCGAGTGACCCGCTTGCCTTACTTTGGAGGGAGGTTTGGAGGCTTGTGTCTGACCGTGGGGGTGAGTCGGTGGAGGTTTCTCACGTCAAAGCGCATACTCCTGCCTCTGCCGTAGCAGAGGGACGGATTTCAGAATGGCAGCGTGTCGGCAATGCCCAGGCTGATCAGTCGGCTAAATGGGGTGCCGCCATGCATAGTGATTCCCTCCAGCTGCGATCTGCGCATGGCGCGTCGCGCAGCGCCATCCGCCTTGTAGCCCAGTTCTGTACCAGGCTGGTCGCTCGGATCGGCACCATCACGCCACGTGACGCCCAAGCGCAAATACTCGGCCGTGCCATAGGCACGATTGAGGGGGGACTTGGTCCCCCGAAGCCGCACTCGCGTTTCGACCCTGCAGTGACGGTGGTTGCGCACAGGTTCCGTTGCATGGTGTGCCTTCGGTCAGCGAGGACACGCTCGGTGCTTCGCCAGCTTCGTTGTGACGACAGGTCCAGCTCCCACGCACTTCACCGCACGGGGCCTTTCCTGTTCTGCTCTCTGTGCGGGGCGCTTTCGGAAAAGAAGTGCCAGGGTCTTTCGCAGGATTGCTTACCGATGAATCGTAGGCAGGGTGTCCTGGTGAGAGACTCGAGATACTACAGGCTGCGCAACCTCATGCGAGGCTGCCATCCTTTACGGGCCCGCGATTTTGTGGGCCCTCCGATTTTGCTGCGGAAGCGAAGGCTGCTGGAGTCGGCCGAACTGCCGCCTCTGCCTGCTCTTTCTCCTCCTGTCGGGACTGGGGGTGGGGGGGTGGGGGTGGGGTGGACGGGGCTGGAGTACTCTCCGCCGCCCGCTTTCCAGGCCGATCTGGCCTTGTGGGACGGCCTCTCTGGCTTTCCCATTGCCAGCGTAGAGGAGGACGACGGCGACCCATCCCAAGGTGCGTGGGATCGGGTCGAATGCGTCCCCTGCGCTGGCTAGCTGTTTTTCAAACGAAGGCTGGTTCGCTTGCGGTCAGTCTCTATCAGTAAAAGACGACGACAGCGTCTTCGACACGCCAAAGGGTCGGCGGATTTTTTGTGGAAGGGTCCGTGGCCGTCCGGACCAAAAAAATGCAGTCGGCATTGAGGCGGCAGCACCGAGGCTTGAATAGGTTAGCCAGCGTGGGCCCCGAGCGGTGTGTGTTTCTAGCAGTACGGCGTGCGCAAGATATGCGGTGCAACAGATATGGTGCAAACCTTGGTGGGCCCTGGAAACGACAGGGCCGTTTGTTTACCGGTTCCGCTCTGCCGCTTCGTTGCCGGTTCCGACGCTGTTGTTGTACCCGTTCCGTCGCCGTTGTTTGACCGGTTCCCGATCCGGTTCCAATCCTGGAGCCGTTTTTTTGCCGTTTCCGGTCGCCGTTGTTTTGCCGTTTTCATTTTCAAGGGACATATTTTTGGAAACGGCGAACAAACAGCCCTGCCGTTTTGGGGGCCCACAAAGGAGCAAGATGTGTGATGGAAGATATGTTGTGCTATCTAGGTGGTACACAATTGGTAGTGCAACATATGAAGCATATGGAGTGCAGTGTATGTTGTGCGACAGATGTGGTACAGTACATGTTGCGCAAGATAGGTGATGCAACCTATGTTGTGCAAGCTATGTGTTGCGATGTATGTGGCGCAATCGATGTTGTGCACACGATTCATATATACATATATACATGTATAAATGTATATATTCATGTGCATGTATGTATGTATGTATAAATGCATACTATGTAAATGCGCACACGCGCATACATGCATAGATAGTGCTACATATGCAGTGCAAGATGCGTGATGCAATCTATGCGTTGCAATCGATGCGGTCCAATCTATGCGAGGTGGCGACGGGCGGCGACGGCGACAACAAAGCCGCCAGACCGACTGTCAGGCCCAGGCGACGGGCGGCGACGAGGCGGCGACGGCGGACGGGCGGCGACGAGGCGGCGACGGGGCGGCGACGGCGGCTATACAGCTGCGGGACCAACACATCTGCCCAGTTCTTTTGACAAGATGCACGAGCCTCTAAGTGCAAGCATTGTTTGGGGGAAATTGTGAGGACGTCCGAAGCGAAACCTCAGCTGGACCGCTGCCGAACTGGGCGGTCTAGGAAGTCCCGTCCCCCTCTATGGGACTCTTCCGTCGGTTTTTGTTTCCGCTGTTTGACCCTCTAGCGAAAGCTAGAAGGGAAAGATGTAGCTGAGACAAGGGTGAGAGCCGGGCCGTGTGCATGTTGGCGTATTTCTGAGCATCGTGGCCGTGCAGACCAAACGTGTGGCTACCATCGAGGCGAGGGCGCGCTCCCTAGACAATGGCGAGGAAACCTCCGGCGAGGCCGCCGCCGGACCGTGCTGCTCGTGCTGGGTAAGGGCGGTCTAGGGCCCCCCGTCCCCCCTTGTGGGACATCTCTGACGCCCACTCCTGTCACTGGAGGAGAAGTGTCGAGCGGAACGCTGGCAGGGAATCACATCGTCAGTTCAGTTCAGTTCAGTTCAGTTGGGGCGGCATCAGCCCAGAATACTCGCACGCGAAGCCGCTCTGCGCTCGCACACTGCGACGGAGCGACGCGCTGGCCGCTCTTGCAGGCCAGTGCATGAAAAACGCACGCGTTCTGACATACCACGCTCTGAAGGGAGAAGGAGGAAGCAAAAAGAGCACCACTGGGGAGTGGCGCCCGAGCCGCCCGAAGCCGAACGGCGTCCGCGCCCAGGGCCGAGCGGCCCTCGCCGTGCCCGGGGGGGGGCCCAGCGCGCACACGCCGCCACGACGCGCCGAGCGGGCCGCGCGGAGAGGCAGCCAGGGGCCCCGAGGAGGAGCAGGAGCAGGAGGCGGAGGAGGAGCTGGAGGAGGAGGAGGTGGCGGAGGAGCTGGCGGAGGAGGAGGAGGAGGACGAGGAGCTGGAGGAGGAGGAGGAGGAGGAGGAGGAGGAGGAGGAGGAGGAGATGGCGGAGGAGGAGGTGGCGGAGGAGCTGGCGGAGGAGGAGGAGGAGGAGGACCACTGCGGCCCCCACGGAGGTTCCGGGCGACGCCGCGGACGGGAAGAAGGACAAGAAGGCTGGTGGCGCGTCCCGCCCTCCGCTCTCGGGCTCGGGGCGTGCCGACGACGACGACGACGACGGCGACGGCAACGGCGGCGGCGCGGTCATCGACGTCGGCGGCGGCGCGGTCGTCGACGTCGACGGTCGACGACGACGACGACGACGACGACGACGACGACGACGACGACGACAAGGATGAAGATGAAGACGAGGACGACGTTGACGACGACGGCGACGGCGACGAAGAAGAAGACGAAGACGACGAAGACAATGACGACGAAGATGACGACGTCGGTGGCGACCCTGACCAGGCCCATTCTGGGCCCGGGATCGGTCGTGCCCAAGGTGGACCTCCTCCGGCCACGAGACGCTAAGCGCACAGCTACAAGCCAAGCTATCGAGGCGTTTGACACGCAGGGCTGCAAAAAAAGGCCGCCAGAAGAGCGACGAGAGAATCGGCACTCACAGCGCCGTCCTGAGCGCCGCACCCGACGGCCAGGCCACTCGTGGCCTGTGCCTCCGACGCCAGGGAGCCAGGCGTGGGCACCCAAACAGCAGGGCGACAAGCGAGAGGAAGGGGGAGAAGCAGGACTGTCATCATATTGTTCATCCTCCTCCTCCTCCTCCTCCTCCTCCTCCTCCTCCTCCTCCTCCTCCTCCTCCTCCTCCCGCTTCCCCTCTTCCTCCTCCTCCTCCTCCTCCTCTTGGCCTTCCTCCTTCGCATCATCGTCCTCGTCGCAGCACATCCCCGCGCGGGGGCACGCGCGAGGGGGGGCAGACGAGGCGAGGCGGGGGGGGAAGGAGGGAAGCGAGGGGGGGAGGCGGAGGAGGAGGAGGAGGAGGAGGCTTGAATGGGCGAGGGGGGCAAAGGGGGGGCCAAGGGGAGGACGGCGAAGAGGAAGGAGGGGCACCTGCCTCCCCAGGTGTGAGGCGCGCGCGCGCACGCTGGCGGCCGGCGCCGCGCTGCGTCCAGGGGCGCGCGGCAGCGACGCGCGCTGCGCTCCAGCGAGGCGACGCGAGGAGAGGAGGAGCCCTCCCCTTAAGTCGGGCCTGTTCCTCTACAGGGGGAATATTCAAACAACAACAAAAAAAACACTGGGGACGATTTCTTTATTTCCCAACCCTCCTGCGTTGGGTTCTCGTTTTGAATAGAGCACTGCTCGCGCGTCTCCTTCCCACCCCCTCCCGTCCCTCTCTTCCCCCTTGCCTTTTGCCTCGCTCGTCGCTGCGTGCCAGCTGGGGGGCTGCGATCTGTGAAACTGTCGCCACTTTCGAGGCCTGCTTGGGTGCCCAGCACAGTGTGCACCCGCGGCGGATTCAAATGGGACCTCGCCATCCCTGGGGGGCTGCGATCTGTGAAACTGTCGCCACTTTCGAGGCCTGCTGGGGGGCCCAGCACAGTGACCCGCGGCGGATTCAAATTGACCTCGCCATCCCTGGGGGGCTGCGATCTGTGAAACTGTCGCCACTTTCGAGGCCTGCTGGGGGGCCCAGCACAGTGTGCACCCGCGGCGGATTCCTCGCCATCCCTGGGGGGCTGCGATCTGTGGTCGCCACCGAGGCCTGCTGGGGGGCCAGCACAGTGTGGACCTCGCCATCCCTGGGGGGCTGCGATCTGTGAAACTGTCGCCACTTTCGAGGCCTGCTGGGGGGCCCAGCACAGTGTGCACCCGCGGCGGATTCAAATGGGACCTCGCCATCCCTGGGGGGCTGCGATCTGTGAAACTGTCGCCACTTTCGAGGCCTGCTGGGGGGCCCAGCACAGTGTGCACCCGCGGCGGATTCAAATGGGACCTCGCCATCCCTGGGGGGCTGCGATCTGTGAAACTGTCGCCACTTTCGAGGCCTGCTGGGGGGCCCAGCACAGTGTGCACCCGCGGCGGATTCAAATGGGACCTCGCCATCCCTGGGGGGCTGCGATCTGTGAAACTGTCGCCACTTTCGAGGCCTGCTGGGGGGCCCAGCAGTGTGCACCCGCGGCGGATTCAAATGGGACCTCGCCATCCCTGGGGGGCTGCGATCTGTGAAACTGTCGCCACTTTCGAGGCCTGCTGGGGGGCCCAGCACAGTGTGCACCCGCGGCGGATTCAAATGGGACCTCGCCATCCCTGGGGGGCTGCGATCTGTGAAACTGTCGCCACTTTCGAGGCCTGCTGGGGGGCCCAGCACAGTGTGCACCCACGGCGGATTCAAATGGGACCTCGCCATCCCTGGGGGGCTGCGATCTGTGAAACTGTCGCCACTTTCTTACCTCGCTCGTCGCTGCGTTTCGAGGGCTGCTGGGGGCTGCGATCTGTGAAACTGTCGCCACTTTCAAGGGCTGCTGAGCTTGTCCCAAGTAGCTTACATATCAAACAACGGATCCTGCAATTTGATTGTCCGTGCAAGTTTCGGCCAACTCTTCGTTTCCCATGATACAAATGGGTTGGGTACGTCACAGGGTAATTACCTAACAGCGAAGACTGATAGGTTTCTAATGGGGTCAAAAGAGAGCATCTGGTGACTCCCCAGGGGGGTCTGGGCAGGAGCCGGACAGGCGAGGGCCGGGCTCGTTTTAAGCAAACAGTCACACATTTCGTGCTCTTCGACCTCCCAGAACTTCATTCCCGGGCCACATTTTGAATGCCCGGAACCAACTGTAGGCCACTTCGTGCTCTTCGACTTCCCAGAACTCCATTCCCGGGCCACATTTTGGATGCCCGGAGCCAACTGTAGGCCACTTCGTGCTCTTCGACTTCCCAGAACTCCATTCCCGGGCCACATTTTGGATGCCCGGAGCCAACTGTAGGCCACTTCGTGCTCTTCGACTTCCCAGAACACCGTTCCCGGGCCACATTTTGAATGCCCGGAGCCAATTGTAGGCCACTTCGTGCTCTTCCACTTCCCAGAACTCCACTCCTGGGCCACATTTTGAATGCCCGGAGCCAACTGTACGCCACTTCGTGCTCGTCCACTTCCCAGACTTCCAAGACTCATCATCTTCATCATCATCATCATCATCATCGTCCCCGTAGCCTTCTTGGCTACAGCCTTCTTGGCTCAACCCGTTGATAGCAGTGTCTCGTTTGGAATCACATCCGTTGATAGCAGTGTCTTGTTTAGACCTCAATGCATTTATACAAAGATCTCATTTGGAGATACCGTTATCGAAAGCAGTGTTTCTACTGCTACTACCACTGCTCCCATCACTCCTACTCGTTCACTCCACACACTACAACTACTACTTCACTGTCACCACTACTACCATCACTACTACTTCTACTGTTACTACTACTGTTACTATTACTGCTGCTGCTGCTGTTGCTGCTGCTAGTGTAGCTATTGCTATTGCAACTACTGGCAGTGCCACTGCGACTGCCGCTGATGTTGCCACTGCGACTGCCACTGCGAATCCGAATGCGACTGCGAGAACACCAGAATTCTACAACAGCACTCTTACATGAATACCACAGGCAATGCTTCCAGCTATGCTTCTACACATCGCTGTTAGGTTGCTTTGCCCGGAAATATTTTTTAGAAATTCGATATGGTTCGACTATGTTTAAGTTTTCCTCGAAAATCCCCCTGTAGGAGGACAGGCCCGACTTAACCCTCCCCACAGCGCGCAGCACCCAAGGGGTCGACCCAAACGGTGTTCAGGCCGTGTCGTGGGCCCTTTTCGCCCCAACGCCGTTCTGCAGCAGGAGGGCGGGCTGGAGACGCAGCGAGGGACAGCGACAGCAGCACGGGAACGAAAAGCACTGTTCGGAGGTTGATAGACCTCCTACCCTGACACGTCGATTGGGGAATTGGCCGTTTTGGGTTCGCGAGAGGGCGTCGCGGCCGTCATGTTTGCGGGTCCAGGTCCGTCGGTTTCGGTCTTGGGTCGTTTTTCCTAAGGGGAGGTTTATTGAAGGGAGGTTTGTCCACCGCCGAACTGTGGAGTTCGATCCCTGCAGCGCCCTCCTCCTCCTCCTCCTCCTCCTCCTCCTCCTCCTCCTCCTCCTCCTCCTCCTCCTCCTCCTCCTCCTCCCCTGTGGAGTTCGATCCCTGCAGCGCCCCGCCCCCCCCAGGGCGCGCCGAAGGCCAAGGCGGACCCCAAGGCGAAGGCCAGGGCCAGCAGCTCGGCCGCGCAGGACGGGGAACGGCTCGGGCCGCCCCTTCGCGGACAGTGACAGGGAGGTCGATCTGGAGATGGGCGGCGAGGCGAAGAGAGAGAGAGAGAGAGAGTCAGGGGCAACGATAGGGCGGGATAGGCAGAAGAGGGATGCATCGACCCCGAACTGGCCCACTGATCGCCGAGAGGGGTCTGATGGCCCCACCCCGCCCAGGAACGTGCGGGTTCACATTATCAGGAGCTCATCGCCGATCTATCGGCGATGCATCGCCGACTCCAGGTCGACGTTTCCCCCCTCTTGCCAGTCCCTCCCTATCGCTGCCCCTCACAACGAGAGAGATACAGAGAGACAAAAACATACATTACAATAATGATGATACTCAGAATCATAATAATAGGAATGCTCATAGTAATAGTCGTAATAATAACAGTAATAATCATAATAGTAGTAGTAGTATTCATAATAACCGTAATACAACTAGTAATAGTAATAGTAATAGTACTAGTACTAGTACTAGTAGTAGTAGTAGTAGTAGTAGTAGTAGTAGTAGTAGTAGTAGTAGTAGTAGTAGTAGTAGTAGTAGTAGTAGTAGTAGTAGTAGTAGTAGTAGTAGTAGTAGTAGTACTAGCAGCAGCAGCAGCAGCAGCAGCAGCAGCAGCAGCAGTAGTAGTAGTAGTAGTAGTAGTAGTAGTAGTAGTAGTAGTAGTAGTAGTAGTAGTAGTAATGGTATTAATAACAGTAAGACTGACAATACGACGAATGGTAATACTGATAACTATAAAACTACTAAGAAGAATAAGAAGAAACAACAGCAACAACCACAAGAACAACAACAATAACAACAACAACAACAACAGCAGCAGCAACAACAACCAACAACAACAACAACAACAACAGCAACAACAACAACAACACAACTACAAAACGAACCAGATCTCCGACGCTACGAGTTGCTCAACCCCGGCGGCTGCTCCCCGCTCTCGGCCTCTGGGGGGGCCAGCTCCCCGGGCCCCGAGGGGCCACCAGGAGGGAGAGAGAGAGAGAGAGGAGGAGGAGGAGGAGGAGGAGGAAGGAGGAGGCGGAGGAGGAGGAGGGGGAGGGAAGGCGCCGCTCTATGCAGGGCGATCCCGGGCCACTGGCGGCGTGCCACCTCGAACGCCCGCGGCGGGGCCGCAGCCGCGTCGGCACGGCACGAACCTCCTCCTCCTCCCCCTCCTCCTCCTCTTCCTCCTCCTCCCCCCCCTCCTCCCTCCCTCCCTCCCTCCCTCCCTCCCTCCCTCCTCTCCTCCTCCTCCTCCTCCTCCTCCTCCTCCTCCTCCTCCTCCTCCTCTCCTCCTCATCCTCATCCTCATCCTCCTCCTCCTCCTCCTCCTCCTCCTCCTCTCTCCTCATCCTCATCCTCCTCCGCCTTCTCCTCCTCCTCCTCCTCCTCCTCCTCCTCCTCCTCCTCCTCCTCCACTCCTCCTCCACTCCTCCTCCTCCTCCTCCTCGTCCTCCTCCTCCTCCTCCTCCTGAGAGAGGGGGCGCAGAGACTGAAGGGAGAGCCCTCGGGGGCAGGGCGGGAGGCCTCCTTTTGCGCACGCCCTGCTGGAGCTGGAGCCGGCTCGGAGGCAGGGGGCGCGCCAGGGCAGCGGGCGCACCGCAGTGGTGAGGAGGTCCCCAGGAATGCTACAATTATGTCGGGCTTGTCCCCCTATGCAGGGGGATTTTCGACGAAAGATCAAACATACACCAAAAATGCCCCCAATTGGTCAAAAAAATATTCAAAAGATAGACCCCAGGCTATTTTTGGATTATGTTTGGATTATTTGTTGTGTATTCTTTATTTTTCGTCGAAAATCCCCCTGTAGGGGGACAGGCCCGACTTGATGCTACAAGAGCAGGGGATTCGCCCGAATCGGACTAGGGGGAAGCGGCGCGCGGAGGGGCCGAGGCGTGGGTGCTTTCTCTTGGACGGCCAGGGGACATGACGGCGCGTCCGAGCGGCCCGTGCACCGCGGACGCGAGGAGTTCAGCCAGAATCCGAAGGCGCCACCTTTACTCAGGAGGGAAAAAGCACAGACACAATTGATCGGCGACTCCCAGGAAAGATGAGACAATTATTTGGATCGGGGGGACGACGAACACCCAGAAAGTATGGAAACAGATGGGGAATCCTGGGATTCGTGTCTGTTTATGTGTGTGTGTGTGTGTATCCCGGGGCCCCTAGATATCCGCGACACGCCTTCACAGATCCTGGCCGTGGCGATCCTGGGCCCAGGATTTGTGTGCGTGCGTTTTTTTCCTGGCCAAGCCAGGAGTGCGCATGCACACCGATCCCGATCCCCTAACGGGGCTGGCCAGGATCGGTGCACAGTGGAGGCCCATACCAAGAAACACCCTGCTTGCCTCCAGGGTGCCCTGGGTTGCTTGGGTTTCGATGGTTCTGCGATGGGAAGCGTGGCGCTCCCACACCAAAATCAATGGACATCCTGGGGTCTCAGGGTTGGGTTTCTTGTGGAGGGTTTCTTGTGGTCGGGCCCCTACTGTGTAAAGTTGGCGCCCTTTTACAGAAGCGCTGGGAGAGCGAGCAGCGCGAATCTGGTCCAGAAGACATCCGTGAGTCGGCGCCCAACGTTGGGCGTTCAACCGCGCGCAGAAACTCGAAGGAGCAAAACGCCATTACGCTACCGAGGAACCCCACATACTTAATTCAAATCTTATGTGTTTGCGTAAGTTTATAACATATGCGCAATTCTGCGTTCTCAGCCCTCGTCGCGAATGTTCCCCCATGTGTCATCCAACGCCATATTGCTTGAACCTCATCCCTCTTCCTAGCTTTCTATCCTCCATCGAGGACAGATTCGAGCCAGCCAGCGGCCGCGGTGAGGGACCACCCCCTGCGCACCGTCTATGGTGTCGAGAAAGTGCCACGCCTGCCATGCCCTGGGCGACCGTCGTGCATAGCGGCCGCGGTGAGGGACCACCCCCTGCGCACCCTCTATGGTGTCGAGAAAGTGCCACGCCTGCTATGCCCTGGACGACCGTCGTGCATAGCGGCCGCGCTGAGGGACCCCCCCCCCTGCGCACCCCCTATGACGTCGAGAAAGTGCCTCGCCTGCTATGCCCTGGACGACCGTCGTGCGTAGCGGCCGCGCTGAGGGACCACCCTCTGCGCACCCCCTGTGGTGTCGAGAAAGTGACATTCCTGCCACGATCTGCGAGCGTGTCACGGATAGAGGCCGCGCTGAGGGACCACCTTCTGCGCACCCCCTGTGGTGTCGAGAAAGTGCCACTCTTGCCACGATCTGCGAGCGTGTCACGGATAGAGGCCGCGCTGAGGGAGCACCTTTTGCGCACCCCCTGTGGTCTCGAGAAAGTGCCACTCCTGCCACGATCTGCGAGCGTGTCACGGATAGAGGCCGCGCTGAGGGACCACCCTCTGCGCACCCCCTGTGGTGTCGAGAAAGTGCCACTCCTGCCACGATCTGCGAGCGTGTCACGGATAGAGGCCGCGCTGAGGGACCACCCTCTGCGCACCCCCTGTGGCGTCGAGAAAGTGCCACTCCTTGCCACGATCTGCCAGCGTGTCACGGATAGAGGCCGCGCTGAGGGACCACCCTCTGCGCACCCCCTGTGGTGTCGAGAAAGTGCCACTCCTGCCACGATCTGCGAGCGTGTCACGGATAGAGGCCGCGCTGAGGGACCACCCTCTGCGCACCCCCTTGTGGTGTCGAGAAAGTGCCACTCCTGCCACGATCTGCGAGCGTGTCACGGATAGAGGCCGCGCTGAGGGACCACCCTCTGCGCACCCCCTGTGGTGTCGAGAAAGTGCCACTCCTGCCACGATCTGCGAGCGTGTCACGGATAGAGGCCGCGCTGAGGGACCACCCTCTGCGCACCCCCTGTGGTGTCGAGAAAGTGCCACTCCTGCCACGATCTGCGAGCGTGTCACGGATAGAGGCCGCGCTGAGGGACCACCCTCTGCGCACCCCCTGTGGTGTCGAGAAAGTGCCACTCCTGCCACGATCTGCGAGCGTGTCACGGATAGAGGCCGCGCTGAGGGACCACCCTCTGCGCACCCCCTGTGGCGTCGAGAAAGTGCCACTCCTGCCACGATCTGCGAGCGTGTCACGGATAGAGGCCGCGCTGAGGGACCACCCTCTGCGCCCCTTGTGGTACCACTCCTCTGCGAGCGTGCCGCGCTGAGGGACCACCCTCTGCGCACCCCCTGTGGTCTCGAGAAAGTGCCACTCCTGCCACGATCTGCGAGCGTGTCACGGATAGAGGCCGCGCTGAGGGACCACCCTCTGCGCACCCCCTGTGGTGTCGAGAAAGCGCCACTCTTGCCATGATCTGCGAGCGTGTCACGGATAGAGGCCGCGCTGAGGGACCGCCCTCTGCGCACCCCCTGTGGTGTCGAGAAAGTGCCATTGCCTGTGTTGTCTGTGCTGCGGTGTGCTGTGCTGTGCTCTGCTGTGGTGTGCTGTGCTGTGCTGAGCCGAGCCGAGCTGAACTGTGCTGAGCAGTGCTGTGCTGTGCTGTGCTGTGTGCGTGAGGAGGAGAGAGTGTGTGTGAGGAGACGCGGGTGCGACGCGGCAGAGAAGAAAATCAAAACCCCACGAAACATGTGGGGAATAAACATAAACTTGTGCCGCTCCGCTCGGATTTCTTGGATCCGCGCTGGGCCCCCCTAGCGGCGCCTCCGGCGCCGCCCCTGGCGCGCTCCGCGCGCCAGGGAGGAGGGTCCAGGTCAGATCCAAGAAATCCGCGTGGACCTCCAAAAGTTTATGTTTATGCCGGTTCTTGTTCCTGTAGGAGAGCTTGGACGCTTCAGAGAGCCACTGCGGGCAGGGGCATTACCTCAGAGTCTTCTTTGAGAACCCTTCGGTCTTTTCGTGGGCAGCGTTTGGGGGGGGGAGGCTCAGGGGGGGGATGCACTGACCCCGATCGCTACTCGTCGCCGACAGGGGCCTGACAGCCAACCCCGCCCAGGAACGTGCGGATTCGCCATCGAGGGGCCATCCCCGATCGATCGGCGATGTACCGACGATTCCAGCTCGATGTTCCTCCCCTTAGCAGCCCCTCCCCCTTAACGTGGCCATTCAGTCTTGGGGGGCTCTTCGGGGCATCCTGGCGCGAGGCCTTTGTGGACAACCTCTTTTTTCCCCAACCATCCTGTGGTGTTGGGTCCTCGTTTTGAAGAGACAGCGCCCCGCGTCCACTCCTCCCGCTGCCCCCTCCTCCTTCCTGCGTTTCACCCACCAAGTACAGCGCTTCGTAGCCCCATAGGGAGCTCCACCGAAGGCCCTGGTTCGCATGGCGGCCTCGGGCCATTTCGGCACACCCCTCTCGAGGATCGTGGCCCCATGGGGAGCTCCACCGAAGGCTCCAGTGGCAGGGTTCGCATGGCGGCCTCGGGCCATTCCGGCACACCCCTGACGAGGATCGTGGCCCCATGGGGAGCTCCACCGAAGGCTCCAGTGGCAGGGTTCGCATGGCGACCTTGGGCCATTCCGGCACACCCCTGACGAGGATCGTGGCCCCATAGGGAGCTCCACCGAAGGCCCCAGCGGCAGGGTTCGCATGGCGGCCTCGGGCCATTCGGCACACCCCTGACGAGGATCGTGGCCCCATAAGGGAGCTCCACCGAAGGCCCCAGTGGCAGGGTTTGCATGGCGGCCTCGGGCCATTTCGGCACACCCCTCACGAGGATCGTGGCCCATAGGGAGCTCCACCGAAGGCCCCAGTGGCAGGGTTCGCATGGCGGCCTCGGGCCATTTCGGCACACCCCTCTCGAGGATCGTGGCCCCATAGGGAGCTCCACCGAAGGCGCCAGTGGCAGGGTTCGCATGGCGGCCTCGGGCCATTTCGGCACACCCCTCACGAGGATCGTGGCCCCATAGGGAGCTCCACCGAAGGCCCCCAGTGGCAGGGTTCGCATGGCGGCCTCGGGCCATTTCGGCACACCCCTCACGAGGATCGTGGCCCCATAGGGAGCTCCACCGAAGGCGCCAGTGGCAGGGTTCGCATGGCGGCCTCGGGCCATTTCGGCACACCCCTCACGAGGATCGTGGCCCCATAGGGAGCTCCACCGAAGGCGCCAGTGGCAGGGTTCGCATGGCGGCCTCGGGCCATTTCGGCACACCTCTCACGAGGATCGTGGCCCCATAGGGAGCTCCACCGAAGGCGCCAGTGGCAGGGTTCGCATGGCGGCCTCGGGCCATTTCGGCACACCCCTCACGACGATCGTGGACCCATAAAGGGAGCTCCACCGAAGGCGCCAGTGGCAGGGTTCGCATGGCGGCCTCGGGCCATTTCGGCACACCCCTCACGAGGATCGTGGCCCCATAGGGAGCTCCACCGAAGGCCCTAGTGGCAGGGTTCGCATGGCGGCCTCGGGCCATTCGGCACACCCCTCACGAGGATCGTGGCCCCATAGGGAGCTCCACCGAAGGCCCCAGTGGCAGGGTTCGCATGGCGGCCTCGGGCCATTTCGGCACACCCCTCACGAGGATCGTGGCCCCATAGGGAGCTCCACCGAAGGCGCCAGTGGCAGGGTTCGCATGGCGGCCTCGGGCCATTTCGGCACACCCCTCACGAGGATCGTGGCCCCATAGGGAGCTCCACCGAAGGCGCCAGTGGCAGGGGTCGCATGGCGGCTCGGGCCATTTCGGCACACCCCTCACGAGGATCGTGGCCCCATAGGGAGCTCCACCGAAGGCGCCAGTGGCAGGGTTCGCATGGCGGCCTCGGGCCATTTCGGCACACCCCTCACGAGGATCGTGGCCCCATAGGGAGCTCCACCGAAGGCCCTAGTGGCAGGGTTCGCATGGCGGCCTCGGGCCATTTCGGCACACCCCTCACGAGGATCGTGGCCCCATAGGGAGCTCCACCGACTGCCCCCAGTGGCAGGGTTCGCATGGCGGCCTCGGGCCATTTCGGCACACCCCTCACGAGGATCGTGGCCCCATAGGGAGCTCCACCGAAGGCGCCAGTGGCAGGGTTCGCATGGCGGCCTCGGGCCATTTCGGCACACCCCTCACGACGATCGTAGACCCATAGGGAGCTCCACTGAAGGCGCCAGTGGCAGGGTTCGCATGGCGGCCCCAGGCCATTTCGGCACACCCCTCACGAGGATCGTGGCCCCATAGTTGTGCTGCTTCAACAACCGCGCCTGGGCGTCGTACTCCGCCTTGTCGACGTGCAACGCCACCTCCTCCCTCATGGCTCTCAAGGCCCTTTCCTGCTTCTGCTCCTCGGTGAGAGGGACGCCGTCCTTGTCGTCGTCGGCGCCCGCGAAGACGGCCACGAACGTGTCCCTGAGCATGTCGGGCTCCGGCGGGAAGCCGTGGCCACATAGGGAGCGCGGGCGAAGATGGTATTCACAATTGCGGTATTCACAATTGTATATGGTTGGGTCTTTCGCCCGGATAATTGTCTGTGGCAGTCTTGGGGGTCTCTGCGGGCCACCTTGGGGGTCCGTCTCGGGCGATCATGCCGCTGCCTTAGCGCCTCTTGGGGCCCTCGTGATGCCATCTTGGGAAGTCCTGGGAAACAGAAGCAGGCGGCGAGATGGAGGATACAGAAAACGCCAGGTGCGTCGGATGGCTCGTTGCCTTCTCGGAGCGTCTTGGGGGCCTCCTGAGTCGACAAGGTGCCGCCATGGTGTCGTCCTGGGCCACTCTGGGCGCTTCTGGAGGTTTCTTGGCCGTCTGGTTGCTAGCGGCATGGGGAAATCTAGAGCAGCCAGAGTGTTGCGACGTGCCCCCCGCGGGTGGCTTTCAGTGACATCGCGTGGCCGCCCTAGCACACAGCCGAAGAGATGCACGACTGTTGTACGCATCTGTATATATATACACATATATGTGCCTATGTGTCTATATATATGCATGTTTATATCCATATATATATATATACACACACCATGTCCTCCGCAATTGCGGATAAGTGTGAGGGGGCGGCGGGGTCGTCGGCAGTCTGCGAGGCTCTGAAGAAGCCTGCCGCAGGCGCCAAATGTTCGTCAAGGCAACGGGGGTGGGTCGCGGATGGGCCGCGTGCGGCGACAACAGCAAACAACAAGCAACAGGAGCTTGCACCGTGGGAGCCCACTGCAGCTCACTGCCCACTGGTCCTCGCCATCATCCTGCTGGTGGCTGCTGAGCTGATGCAGTTGGCCCCACAGCCCAGCCGCTGCCCAGCATTCAGCTCGTCGTCCTCAGCCTCGTCGAAGGGTCGCTGAGTTCGGCTCGAGGCGTTTCGCTGCTGTTCCGCCTGCACCAGATTATCCATTTTGAGTGGCGCGACGTGGGCGTGGGAATTGCCAGGTAGGCTCTGCTGCGCCGAGGGGGGAAAGTGAGAGGGAGAAGGCATTCCCGGCAAGCGGCTGGGCTTCTCAGAACCCTTTCTGGCTTTTGAGAAGCCATGTCTGTCTTCGGGTGAGGCTCAGGAAGCTTGTCTGAAGGCCAGAGGCCTTCCGAGCCTTCTGAGAAGGCCCGCCCCTTCTGCCGTCCCTCCTGGGCTCGCCGCCGAGGGAGGTCGCCGTGTCGTCGTGCCCAAGATTTTTTTGTTCTCTAGGAGGCCACATGTGAACCCTACCCCTACCCCCCACGATTTCTGAGGGGGAGGGTGGGGTGCACTTCGCTCGGGAGCTCCCAAACGAAGCGAACCCCACCCTCCCCCTCAGAAATCGTGGGGGGTAGGGGTAGGGTTCGCATGTGGCCCCCTATTCTCGTCGCTCCATCGGCAGAGGACACGCCCGCGACCCCGGCCATGCCGGAGGGGGGCGACCTGGCGGCCTCGCTGGCGTGCCTGCAGCGGGCGCTCCAGGACAGCCGACCTCCTGCCCGTGGAGCCGCAGGCGAGGGCGGCGAGCGGATGGGCGCGGCAGGTTGTTCCAGAGAGGGCCTCCGCCTCCTCCTCCTCCTCCTCCTCCTCCTCCTCCTCCTCCTCCTCCTCCTCCTCCTCCTCCTCCTCCTCCTCCTCCTCCTCCTCCTCCTCCTCCTCTTGGCATCTCTTCCTCGGCGGGAGGCGGCTGGCGAAAGTAAAACGAGGGCGCATCCGCTGGCGGAAGGCCAGCGGAAGCCAGCGGAGGTAAGAGAGTGCTCGCTCCTCTGGCCCTCTGCCTCGTCGCTCTGTGCTGCTTTCTCGAGGTTGCGCCGTGTTTACGGTTGGTTTTTGACGGGCCCGACGCTAGACATCCGATTTTCCTAGGGTGTTGCGCTGGTAAAAAAAAAGAGGTAAGAGATGCGCCCCCAGAGAGATGACAGCATGTTGGGGTTCGGGTTGTCCGGAACCTGCCACGTGAACCCAGACATCCGACGTGTTGAGTTTCGGCCACGCGCAGAAGGGGTAGGGAGGGAGGGGGGAAGGCGTCTTAGAAGCACCCCTGCTTCCTAGAAGGCGCGGGCCTTCTCTGTGGATTTAAGGCCAGCGCCTTCTAAGAAGCAGCCTCCTTCTAAGAAGCTTCCCCCCCTTCCCCTACCCCTTTGTGCGCGCCGCCAAGAATTACCGCAGCAGAGAGCCCTAATAGCCAGCGAAGATGGAGAAGCGAATCGAGGAGTAGGAGAAGCACGGCCGGGAAGCCTTGAGAACGAAAAGATGCCGCTGGGGCGGGGGGGGGACCCAACCATGTGCACCGCAGTGTATGCCCCTCCTCCTCCTCCTCCTCCTCCTCCTCCTCCTCCTCCTCCTCCTCCTCCTCCTCCTCCTCCGTCGCCTCCTCGCCTCATCCTCCTCTGCTCCTCCTTCCTCCGCTCCTCCTCCTCCTCTCCTCCTCCTCCCCTCCTCCTCCCCTCCCATAATCAATCTTCTCTCATCCTCCCTTCCTCCTCCTCCCTTCTCCCCCCCCTCGTTCTGAAACTCCGGATCTTGAGCTCCCAGACTTTCCCCTCCCCCTCCCCCCCCCCAGCTGGCATTGCGGCGAGAGCACGATTTCCGAATCAACCGAGACGCACCCATTCCCCTTCTCAACGCGAGCCGATGATTGAAAGGAACGCTCCGTACAAAAGAGCAAGTTGCCAGGACATTCCGGTCCGCTGGACCCGCCAGGAAGGAGACCACGGCAGCGGCAACAACTGCGCATTGCGCAGGCCCCCCACGGAGCCGCGAGGTCTCGGCCAGATGTGCGTACTCCCCCCCCCCGCTGGGCCTCCCCCCAGGGAGCCGCGAGGTCGCGGCTGGACGGACGCGCGGACTCCCCATACTCCGCCCTGCCTCCGAGGAGCCCCCGAGAATGGCGACAGCTGCGCAGTTCGCAGCCACTCATGGAGCCACGAGGTCTCGGCTGGATGCGCGGACTCCCCTACTCCGCCGTGCGTCCCAGGAGCCCACGAAAGTGGCGATAGTTGCGAATTTCGCAGTCCCCCAGGGAGCCGCGAGGTCTCGGCTGGAGGCGCGTACTCCCCTGCTCCGCCGTGCGTCCCAGGAGCCCACGAAAATGGCGACATGTGCGCAGTTCGCAGCCCCCCAGGGAGCCGCGAGGTCTCGGCTGGATGCGCGTACTCCCCGACTATGCCGTGCGTCCCAGGAGCCCCCCAGAATGGCTACAGTTGCGCAGTTCGGAGCCACTGACGGAGCCGCGAGGTCTCGGCTGGATGCGCGTACTCCCGCCACTCCGTTGTGCTTCAAAGGAGCCCACGAGAATGGCGACAGTTGCGCAGTTCGCAGCCACTCATGGAGCCGCGAGGTCTCGGCTGGATGCGCGGACTCCCCTGCTCCGCCGTGCCTCCCAGGAGCCCTCGAAAGTGGCGACGGTTGCCCATGTCGCAGCCACCCAGGGAGCAGCGCAGGAGGAGGGAGGAGGAGGGGGGAGGAGGCGTGCGACTGCAATACAGCCGGGGCCCTGAAGAAGGAACCCTTTTCGTTGGGGAGGGGTTCGGTGTTCCTTGATTGTTCGACAGTTTGCCTTCTGTTTTCCTGAGGTTTTCCGTGGGAAGTCGAAATTCAACGTATGGGAGAAAGGGGCCCCGTTCCTTATTTAGGGTTCCTTAGGTCAACGCCCCGACTGTATTCGAAAAGAGGACCCAACTCAGGAGGGTTGGGAATATAAGTTGTGGTGAGGTCTCAGGCGAAGCGGCTGCCGGACCGGACGGGGACTCGGCGTTTTCTCGGGCTCCCCGTCCAATGTTGCGGGGCTCTGCTGGAGTATTTTTTCAATCTCCATGAGGACTACAGTCGGGGCCTTGAAGAAGGAACCCTTCTCGTTGGGGAGGGGCTCCACGTTCCTTAAGTGTTTCACAGCTTGCCTCCGGTTTTCCTCATGTTTTCGATCGGAGGTGGAAGTTTAACTTATGGAAAAAAGCGGCCGCGTTCCTTATTTAGGGTTCCTTGTGGCAACGCCCCGACTGTATGTTTCGGTCTTCGGGCCATAACTTGGCTCTCCGGCCCGGCGGCCGTTCGGGACGATCTGGGCACCCCTGGAACGCTCCCGGCGAGGCACGGACGCTGGAAGGCACCCCGAGGCTGGAAAACCGACGAGAACTTAAGTGAACGTCCGAAAACCTCGAACGTCGTCCCTTCTGATAGGAGGAAAAGATTCCCAGGCTGGAACACCGGCGAGACCTACGAGAACGTCCGAAAACCTCGAACGTCGCCCCTTCTGTTAGGAGGGAAATATACCTAGGCGGGACAACCGACGAGAACGTCCGAAAACCTCGAACGCCGTCCCTTCTGCGAGGGGAAAGTAGGGGAGCGTGTTTTTGTTGATGCGGTCTTTCGACATTGGGCGGAAGGGGGGAGGGGGCGGGTGGGGGGTGGGTCTGGCTCCGGACCTCTCTGCACAGTGCGACTGTTTGCAGCCGCGCGTCCCATGGGGGAGGGGCCCCACCCTGCTCGAAGCAGGCCCCCCAGAAGCAGCCAGGATCCACTCCTGGGGGGCGGGGAGGGGAAGAACAATCCTCCTCCTCCCCCTCCTCGTCGTCGTGCCCAGGAGGAGGAGGAGGAGGAGGAGGAGGAGGAGGAGGAGATCCTTCTCCGGGGGTGCGAGGGCCCGCGCCGATCGGCAGAGCAACGAATAAGAAGACCAGCACCAGGTCCCGATGTGCTCTCGCCGTTCTCGTGCTCGGCCTCGGGGGGGGGGCGGGCCCTGCCCTCGCCGTGCCCAGGGGGAGGGCCAGGAGCGGCGGCTCGGCAGGGAATAAAAAAACGGCCCCGAGCCCTCCCGCTCCTCCTCCTCCGCCTCCTCCTCTCCGCCTCCCTCCCTCATCCTCCCTTCCCTCCTCCTCCTCCTCCTATCCTCCTCCTCCTCCTCCTCCTCCTCCTCCGCCTCCTCCTCCTCTATCTCTCTCTCCTCTCTCTCTCTGCTCTCCCGCCTCCTCCTCCTCTCCTCCCTCCAAACTCCAACTCCAATCCAACTCCTCCGCCGATCTATCTCCTCCTCTCCCCTCCTCCTCCTCCTCCTCCTCCTCCTCCTCTCTCTCTCTCTCTCTCCTTTCTCCTCCTCCTCCTCCTCCCCTCCTCCTCCTCATCTTCTGTGGGGGGGTCGGAGGCGGCAAAGAGGGGGATGAGGACGAGGGGGGGGGATGTGATCGCGGGGGCCAGGACATCTCCCCAGATGTCATGGCGCCTCGTCTTATTTCCATGCGTCACTGCCCCCCCTGGGCCGCGCACGTGCCGCCGGCCATGATTTGCGCCCCTCCTCTTGGACGCCTCGGGCGAAATGTGAAGCAGTATGGACAGAGTTCGAAGAGGAAGAAACAACCTAAGCGTAAACTCTTGGCGGTCCGCGTGGAGCGCCGAAAGTGCATGCTGATGCAGTTTATTTCTTACGGACATAATCAAGACATCATTACGATAGGTTCGTGCGGCGTGTCCTCGCCGGCGACGACATCAAACGAGTTCACGGTTGACTTCCGTGGCGCAGAAGCACCGAGGGACACGGCAGTGCCACTGGGCCCGACGGAATTCAACCTTGAACGATCGAGGCCGCGATCATCGATTCAAGGTTGAACGATCGACGCGGTGTCGAAAATCTTTGCGCGTGCCGACGCCCCACGGACTTGGGGCCCAAGCTTCGGGAGACGAAGAACAGCACGGTTCCGCCAGGGACGGGAAGATCATCCTTGCCTCTGCCTTGGAAACTCGGGCAGGGGCTCGCGACGGGGGGGGGCTCGCTCGCTCAACAACGGATTGGGTCAGTGGCCTCTCGAGCCGCCTGGGGTGGGGGGGGAGAGAGAGCTTGCCTTAGGTCGGGCATGTCCTCTTACAGGCGGATTTTGGCAGAAACCAGAAAAAAAGTCAAGCAAAGAATCACAAAAAAGAATCAAAAGAGCACGACAAATCGTCACCAGACCATGTGTTACCATGCTTGCACAGTCCTCCTGCAGAGGGACATGCCCGACCGGAAGCTTGCCCTGCACCGGTGGGCCGCCGCTCGAGCGGGGGGCAGCCGAAGAACCCCCGCCGTCGCGGGCGCTGGCGGCGTCCTCGGCAGGCCGCTGTGGCGTCCGCGCGAGGCCACTCGGGCCCACCTCTCCCTCTTCCCCCTCCTCCTCCTCCTCCTCCTCCTCCTCCTCCTCCTCCTCCTCCTCCTCCTCCTCCTCTGCTCCTCTGCGTGCCGTCCGCCGCACGCCCAGGGCGTTCGAGGAGGCGTCAAGATAAGAAGAAACCATAAAAAACGGCAGCAACAACAGCAACAAGAACAACCACAACGACGACCACGACCACGACCACGACCACAACAACAACAGCAGCAACAACAACAACAACACAGCAACAACAGCAGCAGCAACAACAAGAACAACAGCAACAACCACGACCACAACCGCAACAACAACAGCAACAACCACAACAACAGCAGCAACAACAAGCAAAACACAAATCCACAAAAA